TGAAGGATCAAATTTTTGTTGTTTCATAATCGAAATGTCCCATTTAACGTGATATTTCGTCTCATTTCAAATGAGACTTAAAATATTGTCTGCTTCAAATATTATGTAATACACAAGCGACTTTACAATTTGAATTATTTGATCCTTTTTATTTGAAAATATCATGAATAAATTTGGTTCAGAAGTTGTTCGCGGCGTCAGTACCGAAAATTAGGATTTGTTCTAAAATATAAAAAAACCTTAAGTAAATACTTGCACTGCATATTTAGCAGTTGTCGTAATGTTATTAACGAAATATTTTTCTACTACATTTTTTTTTTTTTTTTTTTGAATGCTTTTCAAGGTCCAATGTTCGAATATAAATTTTCAGATGTGAATCAAACCTTGTCCAAAATTGATGGATTGGCGAATATTTTCCAAAAAAGATTGATTTTTTTTCACTTTTCGGATTGAAGGGATTCCCCTAGGGCGATACAGACAAAATCGTACCCCACTCAGTTTTCCACTGCGTCATACAAAGTTTGTGTGCGATATTGGCCAATTCATATTCTTCGCAGCATTTATTGGAATCAAATGAAAAAAGTGTTCATTGATCATTTTCGATTGACTGGCATTCAGGGAAACATGTATTTTTTCGAATTTCTTTTATTAAAAAAAAATATCTATAAAAGAAAAAGAAAAAGAAAAACATTCGATAAGTGTTTAGAGAGTATACGACGTGCAATATTTTATAGCTATTTTCAATGAAATGGCATCGGATAGATTCGATGGCAGTATTAGTTGCCAATAGAAAATACAAAGCCAAACAGAAAAAAAAAAAAAGAAAATTCTAGAAGAAATCATTTATGCGATTTATTGATTCGTAATATTCAATTCAGAAAACGAGAACACTTACAATCAAATATAAAAAGCACCACCACCAACAGCAGAAGGCGCACCAATAAATGGTTTGATGCCAAATACGAATAAGTAATGTTTTGTGTGTGTATAAAAAAAAGAAAAGATTGGATATGATGACGAACACGGCTTTAAAATTATTTGGTTTGTCTAGGGCATATGGCTGCACAAAATAATCGCAATCACAAAATGCGTGGAAAATCCATAAATGTTTCAAGTTAATAACGTTTTTATTTCAGCACTTTTAATCGTTTTAATGTGTTCAATAAAATTGCAAAACGATAAAAGAACGAAAGTGATGTGATTAATGTTACCCAGAAGACTAACGCCCAACGTGTGTAAATGCGTTTGTTTGTCGTTTAAGTTCAAAGGACTCTTTATATCACACTCACTGTTCTTTTTACCATATTCTTATTCGCCATCTCACCCGCTTCCTTTAGCTCAATATAATTCGCAATTGCTTTTATTTTACGCTCGTTTTGTTATATCGAGAAATTCAATTACGGTTGCGATTTAACCATTCGCAAAATGTTAAGATATATGTGTTGGCCATGATTCCGTTCCATTCACATTGCATGTGTTTTCTATTGTCGGCAATACGCGCGCACAAATGCTTGGATTTTCTTTTCTTTTTCCTTTCGTTTCAGGCTTCGCATCAATTTGATTGCAACATAATATATTAAATTTTCTTTGTTGCTTTTGTCGCTTTGGGACTGATTTCAGATTCCTCTTGTCATAGGATTCGATTTCAAAGTTAGACATTAAGATCCTTTGCTCTTTATACAAAAGAGAAAAAAAAAAACCACAAAAATTCACCACTTTCCAACCAAATATGTGTTTGAGGGTAAGACTGCCTAATTCCGAGTGAGTACCGCTGAAAAAATGTCTAAGTTGCAGGAAAAATACCCTTACATACATTATAAACATCACTAATTTTGTTCGTTTTACAAATTGTCTGCTATTTGTATAATTTCACTTATTTATAATACAAAGCATTCCGTATGAGCAATGATTCTCATCATGCTATGTGAAAATATAAAATATTTTCATTTTGCATGCATGCTCTTTGCAGTGTCACTATCCATTTGTTGACGCAGTTCGTGTAATGCAAGCGTTAGAAGTTTTCCTCGACAATCTTATGACAAAATATGTTCATATTAACGTATTCATTCATTTTCGACTCGCATTTTGGATCATTTCAATGACTGTTGTACAAATAAACAATACAAATTATCGTATGGACAAGTTGAATAATTGGAGTTGAAAAAAAACGAAGAAAATTTGTTCAACTCAAACAAACTCCGTCTCAAGCAGTATTATTTGTTGAAACAAGAAAATAATAATATATCTACTTACGATGCACGGTGCAACAAATATACCACAGATTATTATTTCCATTCTCCAACTTCGAAGTTATCTAAATGAAAAATGTATACGTTGGGATTTTTTTACTATTTAAAAAGCTTCAATTTCTTGGTATTAAATTAGAAGACAAAAAAATGTTTCAATTGTTTTTCTCGGTTATACGATGATAAAATGAATGGCATTACATTTGAAATATTCTATGTCTGTATGACTCAGTGAAAAATTGCAATTTATATTTGAAATGAGTTGTTGAGAAGTATTTTCATTAAACACATACTAAATTTATGTGACAAAAAAGAACCGAAATGAATTTTGTTTCAAAATCAGACATATGATTGTTATGCTGCATGAGGAGCTGCTTTTTAAAAATGCTCCTCAGCTGGCTCCCAATGATTGTTATAACTTTGACCAGAAACAAAAAAAATCCAAAACAATTCGATTCGCAGTAATAAGTTATGTCGTGGTTCTCCACCGTGTGTGTGCACTCATCATTTTTTCATGACAAAATATTTTTTAAATAGGTTGCCTCTAAATATATGGAAAGGATGTGTATGTACAAAAGTTTTCTAGGTGGGCGACCATGGCATGGTTTAAAAGTCAAAGTAGATTATAACATTGATTATTTTGCCCACGTGAATTTTTCTTGTTAAGTATCTCTTAATAGCACTTGTTTTTTTTTTTTACTTTGGAGAGGACGAAACATCCACACAAAATATATTAGGTTGAATAGGATAAACATCTAATCCATAATGAAAGGCTTAGCTAATTGATGATTCAATGTCCAATTTCATTTCCCTTGTGAGAAATAAAAATTGAATGACCAACTGTGTGATTGATTACATAGATATTTTTATGGAAAAAACAATAATCAAATAAAGAAATTCCATCGATTATCCTTATTTAACTAGAAATCATGTTGATCAACTGTCTAGCATACTTACTATACAGTCGTCCTTTATCGATTACCATACACACACACACACACACGTCAAACTTAGACAGCCAATTATGTTCCAATTTTATATGCAGATGGGATAAGCCAATACTTACGCCAAGTTTCCCATTTAAATTCAGATTGGATTTCAATTTTCAAGTGTGGCGCCAAAAAATTGTCGAAATTCAACGTCGTTGATTCGTGAGCATTTTGCTTGATTTACTCTATAAACAAGTTTGAAGTTGGTGATACAACGATTGGGGGTTCTTGCACACAAAAAAAAAAAAAAAACACACACACACCATGAACTTGTTTCAATCAAATTCTTGCATCAACACGTAACGGAAATAATTTCTAAGAGAAAGGCTTGCGACAGACGATACCGTAATGTTTTTTATGTGTGTATGTAAATCAGATGAAAGGATGAACTGTTTCAAAAAGGAAGCGGTACGGTAATAGAGTTTAACAACACCGAACATTTTTTGCTTGTTTTTCATGCTCAAGTCGTCTTTTGAAGATTAACAAAGTGATGGGTTGCATGAACAAAGTTATGCATAATACGGTGTACAACGTACACATCCTTGAATGATAAGCTTTTTTGTATATTTCATTCATATCGGGGCAGCATTTTTTATCTGCTTGCATTGCATAAATCTATTTCGTCTATAGGGAAACGAAAGAGTGTTGGATTAAGAGCTTCTCGCAAGTTCATGGTTAATTAAACGAGCAAATCGAGACCACCTAAAAATATCCAAAAACATAGAAGTGAATGAAGGAATTATTAGATACACACTTACCTAGACATTAAAAAGCTCGTTGCTGGTTTTTTTTATGAGTTCATGGTAAATAAGGCGTGAAAAATATCCAGTGACGGTGGCCGGTCGTAATCGCCTACGAACAAACTGAACATAAAATGATACTGAAATGAATATATGAATTCATTTTTGGCTTAGACTATTTATTTGACACCCATAGCAAAACGAATGTACGTCTGATCATGTTGAGCAACGTCTCTTTTGCTGTTTCGTGTGTTTTGGGCCAACATGAAATATAGGCTTTTTAGTTTCATTCAAGCATCTAACGATGTGTCATTTTCGAGTCATTGTGCATTCAGTCAAGCGTTTCTAAATTTTTCCGATCATAAATTGTCGGATCTATGGTGAAAAAAACAGTATATACAATACATTCGAATTAACTTTGATGAGATATGTATGTGGTTAGCACGTGCGTGCCATAGATAACAATCCACCCTTTATTCATACAAAAGCATGTTATTAGGAAAAGAAAAAGAATTTTCAAGCAAAAACTTGATAATGTTTTATTGATGAGTGTCACATCGAATTGTTGACTGAATGGGTTCATGCAAAAAAATGAGGGTACATTTTTGTCGATAAAAATAAAATATAAACAATGCTTTTGCCTTGGTACATGGTTTGAGTCATTTTCATCAGGCCATCAATTTTTTTAAAAAAGAGAATTCACACGTTTGGCATAGCCTGTTTTTAACGCCAAAATAAATTTATCATTCAAATGCGATGATAATGTGGCTAGGCATGTGCATGTGACAATAACCACAATAGTCAAGCACAACTGATGTCTATACGTCTAAACTGACCACAGGCTTCATATTGTAATAGAAAAACATTACGGTGAAATATTTGGCACATTTGATATTTGCATGATATGGTTGATGTGATCACATAGACAGTGTCTATCATTCCAGCCCAAATATACCGCAAGCAAAAAGACAAGCAAACAAATAAATAAAATTATAACGTTTTATATTTTCTGATTTTCGTTGCAGGTTTCACAATCCAGGACCTTCATCATCGGAACATTTTTCGCCTGAAATGAACGCAGTTTTTCGGACGAGAAAACAAGACTTTAAATAATAGATAAAAAAACACAAAGAGTGGTGTGCGAAAAAAACAAGCAAACAAAATCATAGTGAATAACGGGCATAGCGAATTGAAAACAAAATTGTATTTACATGTGTATCACAAAATTTGTGTTTATTTGAAAAGCCATCGTTGTTTGTATTGGATGGAAACGATTGAACATTACGTGCTATCTACGTGCTATTTATTCACGACAAAGTCAATGACGACAACAAACCCAAACGCGCTACGAAAAACGCAACGGCAAAGTGACAAAAAATACCAATATAAGCCAGTTGTACATTGGCAAACGAACAAACAAAAAGCATAGCACAACCAAAACAATCCACAATCAATTTAAAATGGCTCTATCACTTGATATAAACCAAACAATTACCGATATCATAATAAATGGAACAAATTTAACGACCAATGAAACTGAATTTAATTCAATAGCTACAACACTATCGTCGACCGATACAAATGTTGACATTGTACTGTTATACGGACCCAAACGAGATCCATTGTATATTGTCATTCGTAAGTTTTCAATTCATTTGCATAAAAATTTAATGAAAAATTGAAAAAAAAAAAAATCTTTATGAATTTGGCCATTCAATGGTGCATTCATCGATGTCATTTATTTTATTTCTATCTCTAATAGCCATCACATTTGTTTACATGGTAATTTTCGTGACTGGTGTCGTTGGCAACATATCCACCTGTATAGTGATTGCAAAGAATAAATCGATGCACACAGCAACAAATTACTATCTCTTTAGTTTGGCCATATCCGATTTTCTGCTGTTAGTTTCTGGTGTGCCACAAGAAGTTTACTCGATTTGGTTTCGATACCCATATGTATTTGGTGAGGTGTTTTGTGTGTTACGTGGTTTAATGGCTGAAACAGCTGCCAATGCAACTGTATTAACAATCACATCATTTACTGTCGAACGATATTTGGCAATATGCCACCCATTTTTACAACATACAATGTCAAAATTGAGTCGTGCTGTGAAAATTATCATTGGAATATGGATCTTATCAATTTCACTGGCCATTCCACAAGCTTTACAATTTGGTGTTATGACCGACGTAAATAACATCGATCATTGTACAATAAAGCGTGTCATTGTCAAACATGCATTCGAACTATCAACTGTTTTATTTTTCTTAGCGCCAATGACATTAATTACGGTTTTGTACATATTAATTGGATTGAAATTGCGCACATCGGGTCTAATGAAACGTGAAAATGGCGTATCGATGCAACGGCGCGTTCATGTAAATTCATGTCATCGGCAACAGGCGAGCGTCGGAACCAGAAGAGTTCTCAAAATGCTGGGTAAGTTTTGTGCACACACAATAATAATGAATTTTATCATTTTCGCAAACATGTTGAGATATATAGAAAACATTTCATTTTATGAACCAAATTATAATATGCAATAATGTGGTTGGCATATTACTAATGGTTCTGAAATCCAAATGTGATTAATTATTAATGAGGGTGCATTCATTCATATAAGCGCCATGTGCATCATCATATTGTAGTGATACGGCATGCAGGAATCGCTTTCCCCTCGTTGCACTTTCATTATTGGATTTTCTGATGAGTTTAACGATGTAAATTTTGTCATATCACTAAACTTAATAATAATTATCATTTTGTAGAATGAGCTGTCCTCCTTCATACTGACATTTTGATAAATTTCCAAAAATTGTCTATGTCATTGCTATTATCGTGCCCGTTTCAATTTAAAATCAAAGGTGTTACTTATTACAACAAACGTCTATCGATTCGCAATATACTAAAATTATGTGCATGTACGTCATTAAGACATTGAACTTTATTGTAAAATGATGAAAAAAAAAACAGTGCGAAACAAATGTCATTTATCGTGTCGACGTATTCGAAAGGATGACTCCAATTTGTTGGAAAATATACTGCATGACATTATTGCTTTCCAAAGCATTAGCACATTTTCATTTAAATGGACAGCGTAAACCGGATACAAAATCATTTTAATAATGTAATTTCATCATTTAATCTGTAAATCATTTTATTTATTTCAACAAGACTGTATTAAATATGTCGTGCTCATCATTTAAAATGTTTCATCATAGCCGTAAAAATAAGCTCTTCTCATAGAAAATTCACATCAAATCTACCCAATGTTGATTTTAATCGTAGAAAGCTTTGCTATAATCTTAATATCCCTTTAGAAGATTATATGATATTTAATTTTGGGTTGCATTTTCTCCCATTTTTCATCTATTTTGGAGTGTTTCTCATACGCATATTTGTATTCCAATCAACCAAATGTTTGTTTTTTTTTTTTTTTAATTCAAGTGTTTATTTGTTCAATCTAAGTTCATGTGTTTTTATTGAAATTCATGGTAATTCTATTGAGGCGAGAGCCCTCGATGTTTTTATATTCAAGAGAAAATTTAATCTTATTTTATTAACACAGAAAGTTGGTATATGACATAAGCAATGATCAAACTCGAGTTGAATGATATGGTGTTTACAAAGATGCAAGAGACAATGTATCATTAAATTGCATAAATAAATACCGTTTGCTAAATAAACAGCTCAAAAACCATTTAACATTGAAGTGAAGATGATAGAAGCGTCATCATGATAAATATTTCATTTGTAAACATAAACAAACAATAATGAAATTTGAAGTGACGTGCCCTGTATTCTTTGCTTTGATGATGTTTTTGCTTTGTTTAAAGTTTTATCAGTTAATTTTGTAATTTGCCGTGTATTCACAGCAGCACTTGTGTGTTCAGACGCAGTGAGAACAAAAGCAGCGTCTAACGCATGGTCGCATGTGAATTAAATATACATACGGTACCGTTTTGCAAAATTTACATAGCGACAACAACATATATTATAGCACAAATATGGATTGTGTGTTTTGGTATTTAACGTCAAACTGCACATTATGTTAATCGTTATGGACATTTTTAACTGTACAAACTACATCTGGATCAAACATATTCACTAATTTATCAGACTCGGAATACAGAATATTTTATAACTGTAACACTTCTAGTAAAATTATTAAACAAAATAATGGGATCCCAAGGATAGGAGTTATAAAGAATATAGAATGAAATATTGACTCTTACGTAGATTTAACCTTCCTACGCCTACGCACAGAACAAAATAATAACGCAAACGTACAAAATTTCTGCTCATATAAAATGTATGAAAAATCTATGAAATTTACAAAATTACGAAGTTTTTTCGGTCCAATGGACAACTTAAATTATTTTTCAATTTTTAAGTAATGAATAAGTAATAGCTCATTACTGAATTATCAACCAGCAACAAAGAAATCTGTCAGAAAGTCATATTTTATCTATTTAATAAGAATATCCAATAAAAGTATAAACATAAATACAATTATTAATAATTTTGAGTTATTCATAAGCAACTGCAACTTAATTACTTAGTTAATTTTATTTGTGGAGATCTTTCGTGCATTTTTAAATAATATTTTTCTTTTTCTTACACTTTATTATAAAGCATTCATTATTACTGATTTTATTATAAAGTGTATAATTTGTTGAAAGAAAAATAGTATTTTTAAAATACAAATCAAAATATTAATTAGTTAGTATTAGTCACGGTTTTAATAGCAGTTGAAAGAACATTTTGCGGTTATTTATTTTCTTCAAATGAAGTTAGACAGTCGTCTACAGCGGAAGATTTCCCTAAAAAAATTCTCAAACAGTTTTTACCAGTCTTTTTCCGAAAATCTTCCGGCATACCTACAAAACCCCCAAACATTGAACAAAATCTCCAACATCAAATCGTTCATTTCTCTCATGAGATCCAGCTGATTTTCATTAAAATCAAGCAAAAAATACGATTGGTGCCAACAAAAATTGTTTGCTTTTTATCTTGATTCGCTTGGTGGCTAGAAAGTTTGAAATTCAAAAGAAATCCTTTCAACCACTTTATTCCATATGAAATATGATTTTCCGCAATTTCTAATAGAAATCTGGTGAGACGAAAGGTTTAAATCTCTCTGTCTCTCTCTCCCTCTCTTTGTGCATTCTTTATTTGGTGAAAATGTGATTAACAACACTTCTAATTAAAAGTGCCAAAGGCACAGCAAGCCGTAATTACTCTTGATACTTTCATTCGTTAAATATAAGCGCTCACACCTAAAAACAGCGCGGTCGTCTTTTTTCTTCATTTTATACAATGTCCAATGTGAGGCCGGATGATTTTTTAATTTCTTGTAAAAGCTTTCGTTATGCTTATAATCAAAATACGAGTAAATTTATGTGTTTGACCATTTTTTTTTTCGTTGCGTAAAAATTTAAGAACTCAATCACAAATCTCGCATAGATACCAATCACTTAAAATTACCGAATACATTACAGAAAATATATGTAGAAAAAAGAACGTAAAACGACGAGGCATTCGAGGGTTGAGCAATTGAGATGATGTGAAAATCGATTTTATTTTTGAATAAATGCTACACTCATTACAAAAATATGCATTGAACACGGCAATAATATAGGATATATGGCAATCATTTTGCTATATGATCATCATAATTTCCGGTCTGAATATCACCATTTATTAATGGCGTTGGACGTACCACATATAATTTAAGAAAATGTACGCTTTCGAATATGTGTGTGTGCCATGTGTGCACGTAAGTCACATATTTTATACTCAAATTTGTATGGATTGTGTAGCTACTTTGTGTTAATAGGATCGATGCGATTACATGATGACTAGAGACCTTTTTTTGTCGCGAATCCATTCTATCTATGTATTATCCGGTTCGGAAAATTACTTGCTGCAGGGACAAAGACGCGAACATTTGTGACTGAATGATCTAGAAAAAGTTGATTTATTTCGTTGTTTCAGAGTGGAAGTTGTAATACTAATGCCATTATCGTCACCTTATTCTTATTTTTCCATCAAAATAAATGTGCGAATGACGCAAAACCAAATGAAAATAACGACACATTGAATTGGAAACATTACAGGACATAACAATGAAACAATGTTCCAATTTCGTAACCATTGCAATTTATTGTCGCCCATAAAAGAATATGACTTTAATTTCGAATGCAATATGTTTGCACGATTGGATGAGGCATACGCATAAATTGCAATTGAATGTGTGTGCGCCTTTGTGTTCGGTCCAAATCAACCGAATATTCCAACATCGCTTTAAAATGCTAATTTAATAATTTATGTTTGGAAATAGCTAACTGTGTGAGCGAAAACACGTGAAAAAAATAAAGAAAATACGCCAATATACACTCATTTATACAGAATTATTATCTGTTTCTTCAAATGCAAATACATAAAATAATCAGCATGACAAAAAAATATATACATACTTATATGCACGGATGTATGTGTGTGTGGCATAGATTTTCCTGTATCTTTCTCTCTCATTCCATGTCTTTGCAAAATATATTTGGCATAGAACGGAATTGCTGTCTGCATGATATGACACACTGATGATGATCGTGTTTGATGCAGTCATGAGCATATATATATATATGTAAATATATGAACAGTCGTAGCGCGTCATCATTTGGCACTTAGAATTTATCTACAGATTGACGCCGTTAGGCATTTCAAAAGCTTAATATAGTTGTAAAAATAAACGAGCGTACCGAAGAAGTGAACGAAAAAAAAATCTTAATGGATCCATTTTCGTGTTGTATATTTTTCCTAATACATTTTGCTACACATATCATTTCTTTTAAATAATAATAATATGCGCGCGTGTATGTTTTTTTTTTGATTTTTTTTCTCTGTTCATTTTGTGAGATTCATTCATTCAATTCGATGTCGTTTTTTTATTGTTGTTGCTGTTCTGTTTCTTTCGTTTGTTGTTGTTTATATTCTTACCTTCTTTTTTCTGCATATATTTTCAGTGGCTGTTGTAGTTGCGTTCTTCTTTTGTTGGGCACCATTTCATGCACAGCGGCTGGTTGCTTTTTATGGTAACAATCAGCTTTTCATTTACGCTATTGCTACATACGTTTCAGGAGTATTATACTATTTATCGACATGCATAAATCCACTGCTGTACAATATTATGAGCAATAAATTTCGTGAAGCATTCAAGGTACGTAAAAGTTATCAACAACCGAAAAATAAATTAAAATTGCATGCCAATTATACTTGGTGGACTTTATTTGTTTTCTCTATAATCGTATACGTTCCATCCAAATTCGAATGCAATAAATACATCAAATATTTGAGTCTATTAACGTTAAATTTGTTCATTGTTACGCATATTTTATTTACACAATTTATAAACTCGATGCAAAAATCAATAAATGACCGGTAAATGACACGCTTACGAAGAAAAACAAAAATTAAATTAAAAAAAAGCACATAAGAAAAAAATGAACACACATCCAAATGCGTACTAATACAGCTAACTTAATTTTAGTCTGTTTTGTTTAGGAGACGCTGGCGAACTTCTGCCAATTATCGACGAGAGGCAGTAACGAGAAGCGTGCCTACCGAATATTGTCGCGCAGCCAGCGAAGATGGAATAGCAATCAAGAATCAGGAAACTATTCTGGTAAGTGCCGTTTTTGACTGCCTTTAAGCTTTTAAAGAGATAAAATTCGTTGTTCTACCTGAAAAAATTCCAAATGATTCTTTAAAATTTACCATTATTTATTTGATTTCCATATTTTTTTTTCTTTTTTATGTGCATTTTTGTTTGTAGGTAGCTCAATCCGAGACGAAAGTATGCACTCAACCCTTACTCAAAAACAATCGATCGATTCGATGACCTCACGATGTCACTCATTCAAAAATCAATCATCGAATCAATTTAAACTAAAAACGAATTTCAAATGTAAACATAATGCCATAAATCAATCGCAAAATTGTGTCGAATTGCCGATTGATCATATTGAAAATGCAACGAATGAGAATATTATCTACAAACATCGAAATACCAATAAAACCAACACCATAAAACAAGAGCACAATTTATGCTCGAGCCCGGAAATAAATGCAAACAATACATTCAATTATGTAAATGGTACGGTGTCACCAATGCCGGGCATGCATCACATTCAATCAAGCGAAATGTTATCAATGGCATCAAACGTTGAAGCAAACAATAAAAAAATTCGCCTAACCATTACACCAATGAATATGACAAAGTCACGACGCAACAAACATTTATGCTACAACAAATTCAGACGGTCAACAACACAGCCAATTTTACGTTCATGGTTCAGTTGGTTTCGTCCAAAACGAAATGCAGCTTTCTATAGTCCACCGCTTGAGCATCCTATCAAAGGAATCAAAATTAATATACACACAAATGACAATCCAAATGGTTGCAGCATGGATGGCATTCAAGCAACTGTCAATGTTGATTCAATGTCGTCATCAAATGATGAAGAAATCAGTAATAGCAGCTTACAAAATGTTGACCGTGACGCACTAAAAGACGAATTGGCCGCTTACATGGACGAAATACGAGCCAGAGAAAAAAGATAACAACCAAAGCAACGCGACAACGACTATTATGGAAATACATCATCAGCATTTTAGCTATAAATTATCTCAAATAAATGAGAACGTAAACATTTGGTGCGTGATTTATGTTTAATGTGAAAATCACATTAAAATTAACTTGGTGATAAATTAATATTCATAAATGCAATGTATTTGAATGGCCACCTGACTCAACTTTATACTTGTATATAGCATATATCTATATACATATATAGATTTCTTTTCCGGCGCTTTGTGCATTTTTTGTTCTTGTTGTTGTTGTTGCTGGTCTATCGAAGTAAAATTATAGATTAACCACACATTCAACTATATACGAATATCTCTACTGGATATGTATGTGAATTGAGCGCATTGTTTGCGCTTATTTCATCAGAAGATTCTTCTTCTTTTTAGCAAGTAGTTATGCTTGCAGGTAGTCAAATCAGTCTTCATGCATAATTTAATAATTTAAGAGCTGAAAAGAGAGAGAGAGAGATAACAAAAATAAATGAAATAAAACTGTGATAGAGTTAAGAAAGTTGTGACATAATCTTGTGGTCAAGTAAAAGCGTGCAATTTTACTTATCGTTTTGAATCATGGATAGAAACATTGAAGCACACGGATACATATATATATTTATAAAAACTTAGCCAATAGCTAGGATAGATAGACAGACAGAAAACAGAGAGTAGTTTCATACGAAACTAAGCTCATTCTTTTTTAAATGTAAAATTGTACAGTTCTAACAATTTTGAACTTAACTGAAATAACAATGGTTTTCAATAAAATTCACTCTAAATATTACATAAATGTATCTACCATCTAATGGTATTACTGTTATAGCATATCTTTTGGATATAAAGAAAAACTGCGGTCGGTACTTAGTGCGGATGGAACAAAGTGAAAATGCAAGTAGTGCTATTTTCACGGTCTGTGGCACATGCCACATATTTCGTCGAACACAACATTCTTGGATTTGTGATGGCTCCCATGGTATATAGTTAATATACTGAATATGAATAAAATTGTTTGTTTTGGAAAATGTTCACAAGAGAAACGATAGACCGAAACACCAATTGAATGGCTGAGAATAATTATATTCTCCAATTATCCTTTAAGAAAATACTGACATTGAGTTGAAATAAATGAGATATTAGTAAGTATTATAGAATGACACTTAATTTGGCTGCTGCATGGCAACTTTGTATGAAACTTCCATGTGATAGCAAAAATTTGCTGAAGTAATCTCGTTCAAGTATCAGATTTATTTTCAACGCGAGTCAGTGTCTCATTTATTTTATCTCAATGTCTTGTATAAGTATTCTTTTTTAAAACGATAATTGGAGATCATAATTATTCTTACCCATTCAATTGTTAAACGTTTGATCACTGTGCTGTGAAAGCATACCACAACGATGATAATGATAAATCATACATATTTTATTCGTTTCATTGTTCGCATTTTGGGTCCTATAGGAAAATATATTTTGCCAAAACATTGTTTGCAAAAGAATGTTCAAAAGTAATTAAGACGCGCGTTGCGACCAATGCCAAGAGAATAAATTAAAATTGATTTTAAGCGCACGGCGGAGTAATTTTGACACGATTCGAATGCGGGCATTGAAGGCGTTAATATGCGCGTGTACTTCAAAATTCGAATGAGATAAGTGAATGTACCATGCCGTCATGCTCAATTGTAAAATATGTTTTTTTTTCTTGCGAAACGGCATAAAATGTGTTGTGCTGCGTAAAATATGCTGTTGCTGTCGCTGTCACTGTTGTTTATCGAGATTAAAAGGCGATTTTGTTTATCAGGTGCGCGTAACCAGTGTGCTTAAATTCAAATTTAGCATTTAAAAACAGATGAAAGAGAAGAAAAACATGGTATAAATGTTGATATTGTTGTTTCTACGTTTAATGGACGAATTTTCTGGAGATATTTATAAAAAAAAAAAAACAAAAAAAGTAACAAATATGAAAGATTTTTGATGAATATTTTAACTCAATGGATTAATGCAATTGCATTAGTAGTTGTCTCCTTAGGTGAAAAACTACAAAATTGCCATTTGTTTTTTAAAATTCAATAAAGAAACAAAAAAAAAACCTGAGGAAAAAATAAAGAAACACCTACGATAATGTAAGAAATATAGAATTTACAAACAATTCTGAATTGATTGTTCACTGTTATGCATTAGGTTTCTAGTTTTATTGTAGGTTTCGAAATAAGTATGTATCATATTAACAAAAGAAATGATGCAATTAAATTCAATTATTTTTTTCATAAACGTCTGCAGTTTCTCTCAGTTGTTCTTGTTTGACAAAGCGGAATTTACGAAGAATCTTTATTCAGTGTTGTTGAAAAGTTGAAGCTTTTTAATCCTTTCACTTCGGAAGTGGACATTTCTCATTAAATAAATTTTCGTTTTCTTCACTACCTGGCTTCAACAACTTGATTAGTGGCTGCCGAGTTTTGTAATTCGAATAACTTTTAACAGGTAAGAATAACAGTTATGCCAACAAATTGGCCAAGGTGATTAATGGAACGAAAAAAATAAAGTTCACTAAAAAAACTTGGAATTTGTTTTAACTTTATCATTATTCATTTACACTGTGGAATTTGATGTATCACGATCATATAAACTGAAAAAAGCTAACAAAAAAGATGCAAATACTGACTTTGGTCTTCTTTTTTTTGCCAAAATGTAGGTCTTGCAATTCTACTACTCATAGTAGTTCCTCAGACGATTTTGATAACAAAGCTATTTATTTATTTTAATTCGAACGATTTTGTGAAAAGTTGCTCAGTTTGTCCGCAGACGATTAGGGCTCAAATATATATTTTTAAATTCAACTCATTGATACATAAATCCAAACACTGGCAGTGTATTTAGTGCAGTAATGTGCGAGCAAAATTTTCCAGGGGGGTTGATTTCAAAATTTTCTTCAAAAAGCCCTAGGAAATCGAGAAAAATTTCGAAGATAGCGTTGCTCTGTATGCTCAGTGAATTCTCTGTTTAATATTGAAAAGCAAAATCATCCTATATCATACATTTATTTTATGTTGTTCCGTTCCCGACATACATCCGTCCGTTCTGGCACTTATGTTGCTCATAATTTTTCCACTACATCGCTAGAAAAAATTGCCGCAATTTTGCTTACCACTAGAAAGTTATAAATATAACGTTTAAATGTCATACGGATTTGAAACCGTGTACAATGTACATAAAAAATCCAAATAATATTTACAATTGTGTAGGAAGAATTCTTCTCGACGCCTTTGAATTCTTATAATCAATAGCTGCCAGAATATTCCATCGGTGTTTTCATTTCAAATATTTATATTTTCCATTTTAAATACCATTCTAACACTGAATTCGACGCAGAATGCAAATTCAAATGTATTGAATTTCAAATAATTAGTTTATAAACTGATTAATGAGTGTTAACGGATGCAAAAAGGTAAGAGTCCTCAATTAGTATATACATTATACATTCAAGACAGTTCAGTGCCTTTTCCCATTCACTTGTCAATGCTATTTTTGTCATCTCAATAATAAATTCGTTTGATTTGAAGCACGCTTTTAATTTGTGTTCAAACAAACAACAAAATTACTATCTAATTGAGCAAAAAATTGTTCACATTGCCTTTCAATCACTAAATAAAAGAGAATACCATACGCTTTTCATTTGGGCTTTCTACTGCTGCGTATTTTTCGTTTGACTTCTTTGAATTAGTTCGTTTGGAATGTCAATAAATGCGTTCAGCGCTCTCTTAATGAAAATTAATTTGGTCAATTGTTTTTTTTTTTGTTTCACTTAAAATAAAATTATGGGTTCATTGACTAAAAATCTCTTGGGAATTCAAGCAAATAAAGTGGAAAATAAACGAGCACATTGCCAATAAATGATAAGTAAGACGCATTAAAAGCATTCCAGAAAGCTTACAAAAAAAATTGAGGGAACATTGAAGGGAAATGTGAGCGATTGACGCGATTTGAAGTGGGGGTGGGACATGAATGAAACTGAAAGCCAAAATTATATGTCTGTGATAGTAGTATGTCTCAATTGGACACCAGATACAAGCATTCGATGTTTCTATTATTTTCCCAAATATTACAAAACAACTCAAGACAAACAAGGTCATATTATATACATTGTATTCTATTCAGGAATGTTTTTCTATGGATCAGTGTATTACGCTCAATGATAATGCCACACATTCAAGTGACTATTGAGCAAAATGTTTAGTAAATCATGTTCACAAATGTTCGGAGAAGAGAAAAAAAGAACAACAACAGAAAAACCATGACCAAGTGCCGTAGATTGAACGTATATGATGATATGTTTTTCCATCCACCGAGCATCCTTTTGAGATGAATAAAAACAACAACAAAGACAAGATATTTCATGACCCATGACGAGAAATATGAAAATTTATTGTAGCACATTAATTTTTGGAAGAGCAAATGGTCTGTACCATTTAATTACAGTATAAATGAATGCTCATGATACCATATAGTCTATATATCGTGATGGAATGCAACTTCGCTACCACCATCATCTTCATCTTCGTCATCACCATCTCTTTCTCTTGATTCATGAAAATATCGCATGCTTGGTACTTGGAACGGTTGTCCATACAATTTTTTTCTTCCCCTCTTTGTATATCGACCGACTAAATGGACCGCCAAATTTCCAATGTAAAATCTAGAATTAACATCGACAGTTATTTATTGAAGCTTCCTATATTCTTTATGGCCTAAAATTGTTTCATTTCGAAGAGTCGTCCTATCGTTGTTTCGTCCATTTATTCCATAAACAATCCATATTGCTTCCGCGGCTGTCTTCGCATAATCCTATATGACTCATTTTCCCGGCATGCACACGAAAAAATACACATTTTCACCACTAAAAGATTCCATTTTGCGTATACTGTTGTGCACCATGACCATAATTTGAATAATAATTTGTGTACTCGTTTTTCCCATGCTAATCATCATCCTCTTTTACGACGCATCTTTTTTTCTCGCCTTTCTTCTTTTCTCTCTTGCCATTTTATGGAATGGTCGACGATTCGCTTCTATTTAGGCGCTTTCACAATTTCCTCATAATGTCTTGCCGACGACTATTTGAATATTTTCTTCAATTTAATATATGGTTGCGCTACTAGAAAATATAGATTTCATGCAATTTTTTTCGTATAACAAAAGCAAAAGAAGGAGAAAAAGTCATATACATTGATGCAGAGCCACAGACAATGGAGAAGGAAAAAATATCAAACAACGTCAACAAAAACGACTTTATGAAAGTCATAGACACCAAAAGTGCGCAAATTACGAAGAGAGAGAAAAATAGATGATATTCATGACGAAAGCTCGACTCATATTGAGGTCAATATATTCCATGGTTTTTTATTTCTTTGAAGAGAACTTCATTTGTTATACTACGCAAAGAATTCTTTTACTTATTTTGCCGAAGTAGCAAGTTGAATGTTCGATTACAGCATTTTCTATTTAGTTGATAATAAATCCATTAAAATAACTTAAAAATACATTAAGTTTGCAATAAATATTTGATATAAATAGTAATAATAATTCTATGGCGAATGAAACCATTGTTCAAAATGGTTTATTTGTACACTTTTAGTTTTAAATCCCATTTTAAAGAAATGGAGAGAAAATCCGGTGTCTATAGCTGAGTGTAACACCCATAAAGCTCATTTAAAAGCAACTAAACCGCTTTTTTCTCCATATCACATTTTGTAGTGGGTTGCATCATTTTAAATGCAAACAACGATATATATTGTATTACGGAACATATTTCTTACGAAATCCATTTATTTAATGAAAATCCAAGCAAATGTCCATTAACTTTTTGTGCATTTAAAACGTTGGTAATTTCTCTGAATACGTTCAAAATGTTTGATGTGGAGGAACCGCGAGAACAACAATAGCAAATGGTGATGGTAGCGAAACTATAGCAAATGTCATTCGCAATTTGAACATTTTGGATCAAACAAATTCAAACCGAAAATTAAGCAATTGAAAATCCGTCTATTTGGGATGTGGGCTAGAGTGTAATCATCGTATTGGTCATATTTTATCAATCAAATGCACTCTATGTACGCGCAAGAGATCCTTGACAGCAGACTGAATGCTGATTGACCTCTCCCTCTTTCACACAGCACAGTTTGAAAGTTAAACAGCACAATGTAGACGCATTAGTAATTCAAAGGTGAATGCCGATCAGAATACCATGTTAAGTATGTCTTAATATGTGTATGCACCTAGATATGCTCAATGAATTCAATTCCTTTTACAACCGGCTGAGTACCATCATCACTGAACAATGAATGTGTGTACTCTTTCAATTTCAATCGAACATTCACATGAAGTACGCTCAATATTTATTTTAAAAATCTTGTTATGATATCTCGACATCAACTGTCGGACGATATATAGTAATTTGTACGTTTGCAAATTTATACGTTTGCATTTGAATATGTTATACCATAGACACCATAGACGTCGGCATACAATTTATATTGAATGGGATTTGCTGACCTCTTGGGTTTACTTTAGCATTTGGATTTTTATTCGACACAATGTTTGCTTGAGACGAAGAAAAAACAAATATAATTATTTACGAAAGTGGCATTTTTGATGTAACTCGCAATTTTTTCATTGATTTTCTGTCGATGAACATTTTTTCTTTTGTTTGAGATTTGAAAACGTTCAGACATTTTTAACGTTTCCATTAAAGAAAAGACATATTTTCTATATGTTGTTGAGCTGTCGATTCACGTGACTTGAAACAAGGCTGGAAATAACATATACCCAGTGCGTTGATCATTGATGCTATAATTTGAACTTGAAGCGAATGACCTTCCAACTTCTAATTTCTCTTGATTAGAAAGAATGCAAAGATTGATTGTATCTAGTTGCAAATTACAGTAAAGCTTATATTCTCTTGTGTCATATGTTGCACTTTTGTGAGAGGCAACAACAAAGATAAAATTATAGTAATTAGTATATTCTCTACAATTTATATTTCAATGATAGTTTAATGAAATTTAGTTTCAAATACCATTTTCGTAAGCGAACATGAACTTACCGTACCAAAATTTATGATTCCGGGGAATGTGCAAAATTCATATGTTTTTGCAATTGATTAAATCAAATATTGATTGTGCCATGCGTTTTCAATTTGTGGGTCGAAATAATTGAATAATATAGTAGTGCGATAACATTTACGTAAGCAAAAAGGAACACTGATATATATTTGTGATACCACAAACCGATTCATCCTAATATTCTCTAGAAAATCATATGATTTTATCTTATACAAATAGGTAATGTATGCTTGAAACCTATAATAATCGACTGATTAATTGCACAGTAAAAGGATGTGTGACAACATATTAAATGCGATAGAATTGTCACATTCGTTGGTGTTTGTTGAACTGACGTTTATTCTATCTACAATTCTACATTTGAATCAATATGAACGGCCCAACTCCATCTTATATAGTATCTGAACGAAACGGCCTTCCTTCGACCGCAAATGAACACCAACGAATTTCGAACGAACAGTTGATAGCTTTGATAATAGGTAGACTTTTCATTGGTGAATATTTGTCAATTTAAATTACTGTCACTAACTCTTTGTACCTTGAATTGATTCAATTGACATCAGTTAATTTTCTATTGTCACACCAATTGGATTTGGTGCAAATTCAAATTACCAATCGACGAGACTCCAACGAAAAAAATATATATGCTCACATTTAGTTGTGAATGAAAGTTTCCGGTTATATTTTTTTACAACCTTTCGGGTGCTGGTAGAGTCTATGTTTTGGTTAAGCTAAAAACCTCATAGCAATCAAATTGAAAAGAAAATATTTGACGCGAATCGCTTAAATAAGATTAATTTTGGTGCCATTTCATTTAAAAAAATATTTTAATTTATTACATTATTAAGCACCATAACACTGACGCATTTCTTCAACGTATGTTGTATTCATTTCAAAATGAAAATCCACCATCCATGTTTTCATTCAGTAAAAATGCGTCTATTTGACATCAATTTATTCTTGGAGGAATTATTGTCACACCATTCGATACAAAATGTGCGTTTTCTTCAACGAGAAAACCAAAAACAGCGCGATACCGCTCATGACGGCAACACAAAATATATACACGATATTGTATTGTGGCATTAGCATTCGAAAGTGAAATGAGAGCAAAGGACAGTTACGAAAAAAGAGCGAAAGAGAGAGAGCGCAAAAACATTTATGCACAGACGGAATAATTTGGCTTTATATGTGCGGTTGCGGTCGTAGTTGTGTCTAACGATCAAATTATTTGTGTGTGCCAAAATGTGATGGAAATAAACATAGAATGCCGTTGCAAAGCATAAAATATCTTTAGCATCTATTAAGTGCAGAAAAAATCGTTTCATATTTTGCTTAATGTCGCACAGAAATCCACACTGTTTTAGATTCCTTATAAAATGACCTTTCGAATGGTGTATAAATTATGGGGTTTGCGATGAAAACATGAAAAATTGTAGGGAAATTCGGCTTTCGAGTCTCATTACAAGCAAATATGGTTTTGATCAAACTTCTCCAAATGATACCTCTGAATGTCATATTTCCAACTTATTGGCCGCTTAGTACATTTCACATTAAGCCCTACGGCCAAACACTGGCAGTGTATTTAAAAATGATTGCGTTTGCTGCTTATAACATACATAGATATATACATAGATTTGGCCTGAGAATGGATCCATTCAAAACATGGAACAACAAAAATATTATCTAGTCTAAACGACAAAGCACCGAAAATGGGAAATCAACCACAAACACGCACATTAAGATGTGTTGCACGCACATTAAGATGTGTTGTCTTCCATCGATAGAACAATAGCACGAGACTATAGACCGAACGAGACCTAATGGCAATGGAAAAAAAAACAATGCAAAATATTCTCTCATTTGTAATGGCTTGCTAATCAAAACGAAAAACGAATTCGTCGTAGTTTTACCAAAACACTGTTAACGTAGATGCCACTTCAAGTGAAAAAAATCAAGAGAAATAATAACAAATCAATATTTGCATTTTGCATGTTTCTTCAGTGCTTCAGAACGCTGCAATCAGTGACTAACATCACTAACGATAATGCAAATTGCTTGATAAATGCCATTACTTTCGTCCATTTCGAGGATAATTTGTTTTTCCAACGCCTTATATCGACTTGAGAGAGACACAGTCAATTGATTCTCATCACAACAAGATGTTTACAGAGAGAGGGGGTGAAGATAATTTACTTTTTTGGAGCACATTTTCCAGTTTACAATCAATGAAAACGATGAAATAGCATGTAATCGGATATAACGGTAAATGAACCACGTTGATGTTGTTGTTCAATGTCCAAAATATTTTGTTGTTCGATATTTGTTTTTTCGCCGAAGAAAGTGTACCGAATCAAGAACCATTCAGCCATGATTTTAGACAGAGATTAGGTTGCAAATCGATATACACATATTTGAAAATCTTTCCATCTACTCTCTGGAAATGTTTTTTTTTTTAAACTCCAATTAAAAGTATATTTCGAATTTCAGACGAGACTAAAATCGAGTTGAAACTTATATGATACCTATTTCATTCTCCACGCCATGCTTAACATGTTTCAAATCGAATTCTTGCTGTGTTACTGTAATTAGATTTTATATTGAAAATGGAAAGACGTGTAACACACAAGGACAGCGACAGAGAGAGAGAGAGAGAGAGAGAGAGCTTAAAATCTGCTGGAAACCAGAAGTAACGTGTTCATTAGAAATTCTACCCAAATTTGAAAAATACCATGCTCAAGTGAACAAACACCATTTCGTTGCTCAAACAGTGTGCTTTTTATTCTAAAATTGTTCTCATACATTTTCAAAAGATAAAGAAACGAAATACAATGTTAGCCAAAAAAAGTATTTCAACAATTGTTGCATCATAAAATGAACTTTGCGAATGAAAATTTAAACGAGAGTCATTCGCGCGCGCATTTCATACAAATATTAAAAGTTTGTCAAACACAGTCATTGAATGTATTGAACAAGTAAATGTCAATATTTGACATTTGCACAAGACGTACATGTGAATGTATCCTCTCAATTTATCGATGTAAAATTTCATTTTGAATGTAGATAATAATATCGGAAAAAGAGTATTTCATTTGTGATGGACGGTGATACGATGAATGTAAAACGTGCAAAAATGGAGGAAAATGATGAATTGATTTCGTCAACAGCTGCTCCGATAACGTGTAAATTTTTTGTGAAACGTAAACAGAGATACTGTCGTCTGACACCGCCAAATGGTGAAGAATTTTGTGGTCAACATATGCCAGTGACAAGTCTGTCGTCGAAAGTCATTGAATCAGATGATTTGAAAATAAACAAAAGCAATGCACGTGTACCATGTCCACTGGATCCAAAGCATACGGTCTGCGCTTGGAAATTGCACAAACATTTAAAAATATGCAATGCTGTTGTAAAAGATCGACCGTGCTACATAGTACCCGGAATGAATGCCGGAAATGTTGACGTTGTCAACAATGATGCATACAAATCAGGTGCACAAACCGAATTCAAATTGACAGACATTGATTATGAGACAATTGATAAAGTTGTGGCAAGAGTCAACCAACTATATGATTTGCATAAAATTGATGAGAAAATCGATGATTTGATGGCTAGTCATCCCTTACTTGCTGCCGAACTGAATAATAAAGAATACGGTCATGAAACACGGCGGCATTTGATACAAACATCGACTATTCTTGGGTATTTAAATCATTATAAACTTTACGATGACAAGACAAGTTATATTGAATATGGTGCAGGCAAAGGTCAAGTATCATACTGGTTGGCGCAAGCAATAACCAATTACCCAAATTCGAATGTGTTGCTTATCGATCGGGCGTCGGTGCGACATAAAAAAGACAACAAATTAGATGAAACACATGCAGTTGCGGTGCAACGTATACGGGCTGATATTGCTGACTTTGATATCAGCGCACATAATTTAATACAAAAATCAAACAAAATTGTCGGTCTTGGTAAACATTTATGTGGTGCTGCAACTGATTTTGCCATACGATGTACAATACATGGAAATAATGCTGCATGTGAAAATGGTAACGGTCCCAAAACGATAGCCATGTTAATTGCATTATGTTGTCACCATCGATGCGAATGGAAATATTTTGTTGGTCGGGATTTTTTCATGCAAAATAAGGTAAGTGAAAGGGAATTTGCAATCATGACTAAGATGGTTGGTTGGGCAATTTGCGGTACCGGATTGAGTCGAGAAAAGCGCAAAGAAATTGAAGAGCGAAAAGAATCCAACGAACACACAGACGAAGCGATTCAAGAAGAAAATGTTGATGCCAACATCACCAACAAACGAGATCGACATCAACGCAAAGAAATTGGCCAAAAATGCAAACGACTCATTGATTTCGCTCGAATCTGTTATTTAGAACAAAATGGTTTTAAATGCTCATTAAAACGATATGTTAGCTCTGATATTACACTTGAAAATGTTTGTCTTGTTGCATTACATGAAACTAAATAAAAAAAACGTTTTCTTTTTCTTGTAAACTTTTTTTTTTTTTCGTTAAACAAAATTTAAAAAAAAAATTAAATTAAAAAAACTTGAAAAGAAAACGCTGCGTAACTGTGAGTCATTTTATGAAGTCAACGTGAATGGCATCTATATGTATTTACAATTTGTATTTATCATTAATAAGTCGAAACACAGATTTAAATGTCAACAAATATGTAAGCGTTGAATATTTAAAATGAAAATCCATGAATGAAGGCAATTTCGGTCTTAAATGGAACCATTCCAATTTGTGCTCTGGCTTCCACTTCCAACGTGGCTGGAACTTTGGTTGTGTGCATTTTGTTGTTGTTGCTGCTGTAGCTCAAACAGCGTTTGATTTACAATTTGACGCAGCATATGAGGTTTACAATGCTCTTCTAGCCATGGCAAAACACCGGTCGCTAATTCGGCAAAATCGCTCATCGGAAGAATTTCGAATGTCTGGTACATTTCATCGATAATTGCCTGGAACTATATAAGAAAATTTTCAAATCAATAATTAATTCATTTCGATAGGAATTTATTGACGACCATACCACTTTGAATTTGATTTCGTCGCTGACCCTCGTCTCCTGTTGACCGGGCGATTGTTGTTGGTTTTGTAACATATTCTCGTAACTATTTTGGATTATGCGTAATGCGGTCACTTCTTTTTGCAATGCAGATCGTTCGTCCTCTTGTTTCTTTTTCTGTTGATGTAGAAATCCGATATAATCTATCGAACGTTGTAACACCTTATATAAAAACATCAATGAAACGCATTTAACTTTCGATCCAAATGCAATAATAAAATGTTCTTATTTATTTACCGTTGCTTTGCTCAGTTTGTAGCCAGATGTTTCGTTTTGTTGACAGGTGGGTACCAAATCCTGTAGCGAATCATAGCCACGTTTAATGGCATCGCGACGCTTTTGTTCGGCCTGAGTGTGTGCTTCACGACGTCGTTCCTTATAGCTTAACGATGTGTTTTTCGTACATTCACCACCACTGTCATCGTCATCATCTAAAAAATCAAGATGATAAGATTATCATCACATCGTCATACTCATCGGTCCGAATTTGGGAAATGTTCAAATGTTTGATTAGCAACAAAAACAACAAAAAAATTGTGCTCATACCCGAGTTATGTGCCGATGAATTTGATGTGATAACACTGTTTGTACTGCTACACCTAGAAAACTGTTGTCTCTTGTTGTCTGTCGGGCTGGATGGTTCCATTTTCATTTCCATTTCTATCAATTGAAATTATTAAAATTATTCAAATCAATGTAATTTGTTCAGTTCAATCATTTCTTTGGGTCGACTCAATGTCGTTACGGAATTTCATCATTATCAGCATGTCTCATTGACAAATATAAGCATTTGATAATAAATCTTAAAGAGGAAGAAAGAGAGGAGAAAAGTGCGTTTAGATTTTCACACTTAATAATTTCGTACGTACCCATTTTTTCTTCCTTTTATTTTATTTGAAACTTAATTATAATTGAAAACGTTAAATGCTAAATGGTTTTTGAGCGTTTTTGATTTATTGATTTTGACGCGTTTCTTCCTATTTGGTCGACTCTACGTTAATTTTCCTTGTTTTTTTTCTCTTCTTTATTTTGCTTTTATAAATAAATAGACGAAAAGGGAAAAAAAACAACAATACAATGGAGCAGTCAACACGTTGACTTTAAGGTCTGTCAAAATAAATTTTTACATAACGCCATCTATCGAATGAAATAATTGACTGTATTCACAAACAAAACACGAAAGAAAACAAAATCTTCCTACTGAAACTGATTTATTTTCAATTGATTTTATTTAAAATAGAAATGAAGAAATTATATTGTACACTGCCTTTATTTACAGACGAATTTTATCGAAAAAAATCATAATTCTCTTTTTTTTACTGTTGATGTTTTGCTGTTACGGTTTATGTTCCTTCTGGATAAATCTTCTTAAGAAATCAGTTGGTTTACTTAATATTTTAGGTAAATGATACAGACTTTGCTGAACGATAGCTTCATTACAATGAATTTTATGTGGTTTTTTCGAGAGGGATTTAAGTAAACAAAAAATGAAATAAATAAACCGAAAAAGGACAGAGAGAAACAAAAATAAATTGATTAACTATCGATTTCAAGAAAACAGTCGCGTTCGCAACATGTACCAAGTGTTAATCATGTGTGGAGAAAATGAAATTAACCACTTGTTTTTAAGATGTTGAGAGGGGGAGGAAATGGTTTGTACGTTTAGTCGATGAGTTTCTTCGCTTTGAAATATCTTCGCAAATAGAGCACTTGCCAAGTTGCCAAACCCAATAAGCAGCACATACTGAATATGCTGAAGAATAGAACGCGATTGTTTGTCGATTCTATAATAAAAAAAATAATTTCGTTAGAAAATATGTAAAAAAATGATCTCCAATAAAAAATGATTAAAAAATCTCTTACCGTTGGTGCTTCGCATCTCTTCTTCGCGCTTACGTGTCGCAGCGAAATCTTGAACAATGGCATCTGACATATCTTCCAAACGTTTGAGATCCACTTCGAGCGGCTTGAATTTACCGGCTTCTTCAATCTACAAAATTCAAATGGAACATTTCGAATTAGCACAAACACATACACACATTAAACAAATGGGTTTAAAAATGCAAAAGCATGCAATCTTTGATGCATTCAATCGAGTTTTGTTTAAATTAAATCACACGTGGATTTCAATTTTGAAATTGTTAAATATATTATTTTGCGATCACAAAACGGATAAGAATCGTCCAAGATTTAAAGGTAATTTTGGAATCATTTTGGGAATGAATCGAACAATGAACAAAACTAAAACCATTGCAAAAAACACAAATATTTACCATATATCTGTGGAAGTTTTTCTTTAAAGTTTTTTTATGAAGAAAAAAACGAAATAAAATTGACTTAAATCGCCCTAATAAGATGATTTTCATTCTAATTACTTACGCCATCATAATTTCTAGCTTCAACGCCTTTTTTAGTTACAATAGAAACTTCATGCTCCTGTCCACGAATTCCTGTTTTTTTTTTTTTTTTTTTTTTTGTAAGAGTAAAAGATTATGTTAGGATGTCTTCCATTCAGAATGATTTCGACTGCGTCAAATTAGTACGGTATAGTTAAGTAAAATACCTGGGCTAACATGAGAACTGATGCAAATATCATAGGTCTCTGCAGATTCAGTGGTGAATGAGGCTTTAGCTTGATGGCTCATGCCTTCTTTTTTGGATAAAAGTCCCTTTCTTGAGTCACGGATCTGTAACGATAAAATACATCATCAAAAGTGATGATTTGGCTAATTACGATGTTGCAATCACCAGACTATCTGTCTGTGTCAATTTACATTCAAACTAATTGTTCGGCTAAGTTATTTCGTATGTTTTTTTTCTTCTCTTTTTAATTGCGTTTTGTTGTATTTACCTCGTAATCAATACGTTGGCCAGGCGCATCAGACACCTCAAATTCAATAACAGTCAATTGATGTGCTTGAGTTTCATCTTTGAAACATTTTATGGTGTTCGGCAGATGAGTATATCGAATGCCGTATACATTATTATGGCCAAATAAAAATACCAACAATACCGACCACAGAGCGTAATCCATGATTTATTTTACGATTTTTTTTTTATTGGTTTAGGCTAATTTATTAAAATTGTCTAACGTGTTTATACGAACTAACTAGTCTGGCGTTTACACCGACAAACTGTGTAAATAGAATGAATTTATAAAACCGAATAGCTGAGTTTCGTGTACTTTTCGCCTATTTACCATGACAATATGAGGTTTTACGTGGCCGAAACGCCATTGAAAGTGTATTAAATGCAATGAAGTTTATTGTCAAAATAGACAATGTTGGCATTTCGTTCGATGGATGCGTTCAATGTGTCAAATATTTTTTTTAACGACAGTCAATCGAAATGATCGGTGTCGTTGAATTGATAGAATGAATATTTTCAAACATCAACGAACAATAAAGTATTTAAACCATAAACATATTTGAATTTGTTCATTTCGAATTCCATATGTAACGTTAGATAAGAAAAATCTTATTAGATTGCTTCATTAGACATTCAATGTATTGACAATTTGAATCTAATTATTTCCGACATGAATTTTTGCATTTGACGTTTCAATTTACTTGACATTTATACAGAGAGATATAGAAAGTGGCAAATGTGCACATATCTACATCTGCGAATTTCTTCTTTCATCGAATGTTGTCGTTGTGTTGTCCATGTGTTTGTGCGTATATGTATGAGTGTAGAAAAATTATGCTCCAAAAAAGAAAAACACCATCTATGCAACGTAAACAGTGGGATAGAAGAAAGGAGCACGAGTCAAAGCGAAACACAAAATACTCATACACATTCAGGTTGTCGTATCAGTAGCTAATTATTTCAAAAAAATATTGACAGAGAAGACGATTGACAAGAGACCGAAAGAATGAGACAAATGTAACGGGTACGATAACACATCCAAACAACATGTATTGTGCACACTATCGAAATTGTGTACACAGTGTGGGAGCATATACACATTGAAAGCGAACAAATCAACAAATAGCTCTCCACACGTACGTAAAAATGTGTGTATATATCAATATCTCTCCTTTGAGCGCCACAGTACACATTTCACATTCATTTCAATACAGTACCTTTTCGATGATATTTCTCTCTCTCGTGTAAAACCGATAAATAAAACTATATAGATAAAAGAAAAACAAATTGCTGAAATCAAAAGAAGAAAAATGGCAGTCATGTGCTCGATTTTATCATAAAAGAAATAAATATTATCTGTTCACTTTATTTTATTTATTTATTTTTTATTTTACACTTTTTTGCGCTCTCGGCTGTAAAATTTCGTCTTTCTTTTTCATTCGAAAAGAAATAAAACAATGATAAACGAATCAAAGCGCAGTCAGTTCAATGTGAGGAAAATTGTACGAAAATCAATCGGATATTTTTGCTCTTCGGGGAAAACTAAGCGAAACGTGAAGGGAACTTGTGTACTTAAACAAAATCATCGCGATAAATTACTTCGAATTGACGGCGGATCAAAAAAATTCGTAAAAAGAAATTAGTATAATTAATCCCGAAAAAAAAGAAATGAGAATCAAACAAATTTTGTGAATCAACAAAAATAATAATAAAAATAAAACAAATACACACACATACACACAAAAGAGAAGAAGAATCAGAGCGGAAATAGTGTCCTACTGAAGTGAAGAGTGTGAAAAACGATTTTTAATTTGTTGTGCATCATCATCATCATCATCATTATCTTCGTCGCCAAAAACGACAAACACACACATTGCACTAAAGAAAGAATTAAAATTAACAAATTGAATTCAAGCATCTAGACCCATTGAAGAAAAAGGAGGAAAAGGAAGCGTGTGTACATTTCATTCCCTCAATCGATTGCTCCAGCTTGTCGCGCTCTCATTTCTTCATTTCCCGCTCGTTGCCGTTCGCTCCGCAAAAGAAACGCAAAAAATTCGTATAGTTTCTTCAGCATATTTTTTTTAAATTCCAGAACAAAATGGATACAGAATACGTGCCATTTCTCCTAGTCACAGCTAATGTGGGGAGTGTTTTTGAAGATGTAAGTTGCCCTACTTTTTCTCTCTCCTATGCCGCGCGCTTGTTGCCATTCTGAATGATTTATTCGTTTTACATGGCTTTTTATGACGACGACGACGACGATGGTGATTGTTGTTTTGTTTCGAATTGTTTGTTATCGTTTGATGTTGGCGTGCTGCTGTGAGTTGTTGAAACGAAAATGAAAACAAAAATATCCTCTCGCTTCGTCGTATCATATATATACAACAACGGAATCATTTGCAAAGTGAATGAATTTTGCGCGTTCATTGTGGGTGCTATGATATTGATTTTACTTTTAATTCAATTTCACTCTGTCTCTTTTGCTCATTTTCATTCACTCTTTTGACGTATATATATGCATATCGTATTAAATTAATCAAATAATTCAAACAAAAGCATCAGCAGCAAATCTTGTGCCCGTAGAATAACAGCAAAACACAACATACACACACAAAAACATCGAAAACAAAAACAACAAAATTAAACGTCAAGAAACATCGTAATTTTCACCGTCATGTTAATGAATGGCAAATGAGCTCCTTTCGTGTGAAAGCGCACAACTGTGCGCGATAATTATAAAAAAACATTATTACTTTGCTCAAAATGTGCACAGCACCTAGTTATTAGTTCTCTAATCAAGGTATTAATAGAACGAAAAAAAATATATATACGATTTGATTTAATCCCGTGTAGCCGTCACGATTGCTAGTGTCATGGATATCAGAGTTTTTGGCCAAAATTTCCCTGCTAAAACCGCAATTTGTTGCGTTGCACTTGCAAGAGGTTGGCGGCAAAACGTACGAAAAATCTATGGAATACGTGCAAGAATTCATTCGCCTGCTATCTGAATCACCCGAACTGGAGTGCTACAACCGAATTCGAGTATATTTAGATGAAGATTACACCTCCGCCGAACATTTTACGGTAAATAATCACATAAAATACAATAACATGCACTATAACAAACACATCACATCCATGAAAGAGGTATATCGCATGAAAGGAACAAAATTCATAAAAGAAGAATAGGGAGAGAGAGACAAAAGAATACAGACAATGTGCGTGTGCGTATGTGTTGTAAACAACCAAAAGAAAGAGAAAAATACGCAATAATGCTCTCAAGGAAACAAAGTATTTATAAATCTCACCTTACATAGTAGTTATTTAGTAGAAATTAGTATCTAGAAATCAATTTATATTTTCATCGATGTTATTAACCCTGATGATTGTGTGTGCTTGATTGCTCGCCTGCACGCACACACACACACAGACCTTTTCAATAGTACCTACTAATGCATAAGATCCACAACACGTAATTATATTGATAGTGTGCGACTCTTTTTTTTCGCTTCTTCTTCTTCTTTTTTGTTATTTTTATTTGTTTTGTTATTTTCTTCACAATTTTCAATTCTCTTCTCGTGCTTTAATTGGCGAAAATGAAAATGATTTTAATTACATTTGCAAATTGCGAATTCCAAATTTCTTTACTTTGCACCACCGACTCAAGATAGATAGTGATGTTTCGTGTGTGCATGTGCATGCTTCTAATTCGTTTGACGCAGATTTTTCAATTTTTTTTTATATATATATATATATAGTGTACGCAAATACACACACTTACCGAGTGAATAATGAAACAGAAGAAAAAAAAACGAAACTTTCAAAATTAATTAAGTAATAAATACTTACTTAGTAATCCAATTACCATATAAAAAATATGGACTTATTCAGAATACTGAATAAATATAAGAGCAGACAAAAAAACTTAAACTCAAACAGACATACGTACGTTAAACTAGTTTACTTTCAAACTTTGTTTTTGCTGTTGTTCTGTCTCTCTTTCTCCATCGCCGCATAATCTGATTGCATGTGTTTTGCCCAGTTCAAAAGCCCCTCAATTAGACACTTTACTGGATCAAATATGATTTAAGTACAATTCATGTGTTGTTGTGTGTTGACTTCATTGTAGTTGTCATCGTACGATGTTCTTCTTTTGTAATTAAAAATCGTATATGTTGTTATGTGTTTGTTGTTTTTAGGCACTGGGCAATTTGTACTTCATTGAAAAGTCAATAAGCACCGTAAAAATATGGAATTTTCTGACGCACGAATGGGAAACGGTCGAAGGAAAAAGTGTACACACTGGCAATATAGAGGCTGTCGCAACCAAAGAAAAGTCCAAATTTCCGCAACATTTCTTTCCCGAATGCAAGTGGTCACGAAAGGGTTTCCTGCGAACGCGTTGGGAAATCAATGGCACCGTATTTGATATGATTAACATTCATTTATTTCATGATGCATCTAATTTGGCTGCAAGCGAAGAATCACCATCAGTCTATTGCAAAAGTAGGCGTCGAGCTTTGGTCTATACACTGGAGCGGTTAGTGTTTGGTTTTAATTTGCATGCATTTTCAAATACCCGACGAAACAAATCATCAAATGAATGTAATGCATTTTTAATTGATTAGGTTTCACAAAGATGTTTTAAACGGAGTGGCACCATATTTTGTATTCGGTGATTTTAACTTTCGTTGTGATACAGAAGGTGTAGTCAAGGTAGATATATTAAAACATGCAAACCAAAGAAGAAGCAAAAATCCAATTTGCAATAATCACATTGTGTTTTCATGCATTTTTTTTTGTTATTGTTTTCGTTTGCCACAGAAATTATCTGAAGACTTAACAATTCACAGAATATTAAATGTTAAAAATGACCACTACAAGGTTCAATACCGTGATGCAGATGCACAAAATGTGCTGACTATTGGAAAAAAGGAATTCCATCACGTGGACCATCAGATTAAATTTAAAGAGTCATGGGTATGTGTACAAAATAACACAGTTATCATCAATTATGAAATGAAAAAAAAATTGTCTGCAAATGTTTGCAGCTACAACATTTCGACTGTGAATTGCAACCATTGAAAGAGGTACTTGTTGAATATCCAATTACATTCCCACCATCGTATCCGTACGAAGAAGACCCGGCATTGCCACAAGATTATATGCTAACGCGATGTCCAGCGTGGTGTGATCGCATTTTGATGAGTCCAGCCGCTAAAAATCTCATCAATGACAAAAATTTCTCATCACTACATTACAATACCATTGGAAATAACATTTGTATGGGAGATCATAAGGTAAATTATTCTATTCTCTATTATTTTTATCTCGAAATTCTTTTGGGGGTTTAACGTGCAAATCTTGTGCGTTAAACTATTCACTTTTTTTCTCTTTCTCTTTCAATTTCTTAATTTTCTTATTCAAATTGCTCTTGATTATTTTTATCAAAATAAAAACTAATTCTTCTTTCTTCTAATTCAAACTACCCATGAATTGAATGAATTTGGTGTATTGCAAATCGAATCGAAAAAAAAAAAAACAAAAAAAATCTTCAAAACAAAAACACGCACACAAATGAAAATACATAAAATCTAAATGAAATGCAGCCTGTCTTCTTAAGTATCAACTTGAAAACATTTCAAGGTACAATTAGATGTTGTTGCGCGCATGCTAAAATTAACAATAATCATCAACCACCATCACCACCACTGGTATCTCTCCAAATGCCACCTACACCAACACCACCACCACAACAACAAAACCAATATACATTAGTAGATCACACAAATAAATTTGCATCACAGTGTCCATATGCTAGTAATGAGTATTGTAATGTGTTATTAGAATGTAACAAATTAACTAGTAAAATTTGTGAAATCAATTCGTTGAATGCGAATGCGGCCGGAAAATTGTCCCAAACGAATGAAATGTCGACAGCAACGTCGGACATCGCACTAAATCGAAAAGTCAAACCGACGATCAGTATCAATGTAACGGATGCGGAAAATTTAAATGTATGCATGTGCTCATTGTATGCTAGTTGTGATAATGTGCTTGTTGAACAAGAATCAATGATCGGTACAATTTGTCCGCGATGTCAAAATATAATCAAACAACAACCGACTGAACATCGTAAAACATTAATATCGAAACGTTCAACATTATCAAAAGATATAATTGTAAATCGTGTGGATACGCATTTTTTGAGCCTAAGAACGGCACTCGATGGTGGAAAACGTTATGAACCATATACACCGGAAAGCATTGAATCACATTCACCGCCATTACGCGAACCAGATATACTCGAGTATGAAACAAATGACAACGACAATAAAATCGATTCAAATAATACAATAAGCACAATTGATGCCACCGTCGATTCATACGATGTGAATAGCAAAGTAATTAGTCCGGTTCGATCATTATCGACACACAGCAGTGCTGTGTCACCGCGACAACTCAAATCTCGATTAGAAATACTACGAAAAACATCAACCGATGCATCCGGTATGGTTATTAGCAATCATATCACCGAAAATCGCAAACAACGGCTGAAACGCGGCATTTGCTTCAATAAATGTTGTGTTATTATTTGAAAAATGATCAATTTTGCATATCATCATTTATAGCCACAAATACATACACACAAATCCAATGTTCATTCATTCCCAAATAGTTGCTTTCCCCCTTTTTTTCTTTAATTGACCCATTCGTAATTGAATGATTATATTTCCATTTAAAAAAAATCACAAAAGATATAAGATTCAAAGAGATACATTCACATTGAAAAGAGAACATTCAAGCCGTTTAATTTTTTTTAATTAAAAATTGCCCGATTTTGGGCACTGCTTCAAAACCAATGAATTGGCCATGCATTGCACATATTTAAAATATGATATTTTAGAATTGATTTTACAATTTTATATATACGAATTTTGTGAACATAGTTCCACACAAATGTTAGATAGAAAATGAAATAAGATAGATTTTTCACATGTATTTTTTTGCGCGTGCATCATTTTAAAAGAAATATTCAGTCGAATCAAACATATCCACGATTTTATTTTTATTGAATTTATACGAATCCAGTGGAAATAGATTTGCCAAAAAAAAAATCATAGAAAGAAATTGTACATTTAATTCTTTTTATTTTTAAATAACTTCCGTTATTTTTCTCAGAAACAAAAACCTATTCATTGTAATTATGCGTCACTTTTAGTCGATACTTAATTTTATTATTTTATTTTTTTTTATTTATATGTATTTAGTAAATCAATATGGAAAGAAAAAGAATTTTTAATGAATTTTGTTTTTAAAAAAATAGAATGCCAACTGCATTAAATGATTTGTACGTTTATCAAAGTGCCTGTGCATCTCAATTTAGTATATATATTTTGATACATATTAAATTTTTGTTTCGTATAATTATGTGTGTAAACACACATCTTATTTTTCTGTTAAAAAGGTGATACAAATCAGAATTGAATCACTTAGAATAAATCAACATTACTAGATAAATGTCTTCAAATGCGTTACTGAAAAAAGGCAGTCAGCAAAAGCGTTATAAAATATATCGACGATGTCACGCTATTGTTGGCGAACTTTTTTATATAACGCGTCACATACAGTTTTTGACACTATTGCTGACGTACTTTTTTCTATAACGCATTTGAAGACATTTATCTAGTAATGCTGATTTATTCTAGGCGATTCAATTGTAAATAAATCGATCAAAATTTCATTAAATTATATTAATGAGACATTCTTATTTTTGAAGCAAAGTTCAAATCTTAAGTTAAATGAAAAAATTTTAAAATTAGATTGTACTTAATTTATAAATTAGAGAAAGAAAAATCAACATTATTTTTTTTATTTAATTTTTTTATGTTTTCGTTTTTGTTCTGAAATTAAATTAATTTAATTATTGTTTCACACTCAACTGAACAACAAATAAAACATGCATCGATCATTTTAAATTATCCCCCATCACTTTAATCTATGTAATTTATTTGTGTTTTTTTAGTTTGTTTCATTTTATACAATTGAATGAAAATAAAGAAACAACTGTTTATTTTGTTTCGTATGATCCCAATATTTATTTCATTTTTTTTTTGTTGGTTCACTTATAAATAGTTTTATTTTTATTTTCGTCTGTGAAAAATGCAACTTTTATTTTTTCATTTAGGTGCACGAAAGCAAAGCTAAATCGGTATTATTCGCAGCAATGCTTGGTGGAAAATGTTGGTGGATCTCTCATAAAATTAAGAAAATAAACACGAATGGACCAATATATATTGTGCATGTCTGTAATGTTTCTTTCTTTTTTTTATATAGCATTTTATTTCGATGTTTATTGTTGTGTGCTTTTTATATTGATAATGATTATTGAATTGAAACTATTGAATTGATTCGAGAATTGATTTTTTCTATAATCTAAAACCATTTAATCCTCCCCAAATATGCAGGAAAGAATCTTCAACGAGATGATTTATTAATATCACCTGAATTACAAGAGATTATTGATCAGATATTCGGCAATGATGAGAATACACATAGCGATAACGATGACGAAGATGCGGCCAATGAAGAATCATCTGGCATTGTTGCAAACAGTAAATTCATTCAGTTAAGTAGCATTAAACAAGATGTTGAATCGACCAGTACTGATTGTTATTATCCAAATAATGGAAATTCGGTGGTTTTTCGTGAGACAACTGTTTGAAAATGCGATCCCGATGGTAAAGAAAAAAAGAGTTAGCCAAATGTGTTTTCAGGTGAAGAATCATATGTAGAATAATACCATTAACTGCAACCTATATTCACATCCCTTATCCATTTATGAGATAAAATAAAATTTATAAAACCCGATAGCAAAGAGAAAAGCAACAAAAACACCAGGATAATAGAATTATTTACACTGTGCAATTTAAAAACACCATTTTACTATTTTCTTACACATTTTTATTGTTCGATTTTTGTGTTGTGACATGATTTAAATGATTAAATTGACTGCTCGACAGGCAATTTAGTGACATAATTGTCAGACAGACATTTAAGCTTGGCCAACCAAATGATTGGTCTTTATAAATGTATCAAATGAGGTTTGACAACAGTAATAGAAGTGATAAAATCTCTATACATTACGTCGAGTTAAAATGATTTCGAACTTGATTTTTTTTACCAGACCTTATTAGTTTCAAATCTCGAACCGCTGCTTTTGATGCATATTCTGTTGGTCATCAACAGTAACTGGTAAGTGTGTAAGTTTCATTAAGTTTATTAGAGTGATTAGAGATCTTCTATTACACCACTTTATTTCTCTCTCGTATCAATGGTGATTTGTTGCTGTGTACGCATTCACCATTAGAAGTAAACAATAGCAGCAGTTTGGCAATTGGTTCGAGATAAGGACGGAAGTTCCGCGGTCGAACCAATTTCTGTGAACACAATATGCTCAATCATAAATTTTTCCCATCATTTTCTCCCAATTTTCATTGATTAATATAAATAATATTATGACGTGTTGAAAGTATGACGTAAAAATGATGTATTAAATAGAGACCAAATCAGTATTTTTAAATCAAAATGAATTACTAGAAATGAGACAATCGAAATGAATTCAGATGAATCAATTTGAAAGCGAAAAAAAAATTACCTGGAACCAAATGTCTTGTTTTCTTTTTTGAGAATTTTAGTATTATTAGAAGATTTAGTCATTTTTGTGTAGATTTAACTAATAAAATACGTTTGAGATTTTGATGTTTTCACACAAATACACACACATATAAACATCCAACAAACTCGTGATTCCAATTCAAAAGAATTAAGTTCTTTGAAATATATGTTTTCAAGTGCAGAGAAGAAGAAAAACCAGAAACAACAACATTTATAATAAAATCGTCCGTCCGATTTTGTTGCGTTAAAATATTTGCCCAGTTTGGCTGTCGGTCTCGATTAACCAAATATTTTTTTGTTCCGCATATATTTTAGGTGGATATTTTTATTCGGTAATTTATTTTGTTTTTTGGAAACACCATTATATATTTATATATTTTATCGAATATGAATGTGAGAATTGAATTAACTAAAACATCAAAAACAAACAAACAAACAAAATAACAAACAACTATATATTTATGACGCGCACGCACAACATGAAAATCAAGTGAAAAGGAATATTTAATATTTTTTAGTTCAATTTATAAATCGAAAATCCGAAACAAATATAAAATGATGATAAAATGATAAAATGATTTGATCTCATTTACGTATATGGATGTTTATACGATGATATGAATATAATATTTTATTTGAATTGTTATTGCCGTAATCACGAATAGAATTGCAAAGCACCAGATTTAATTATATATCATTGTATCGGTTTTTGATGATTTTCATGTGATTCCATTGTATTACTTAGCTCATCTGAGATAAATGTGTTTATTGTTCGTAAAATACATGTGTTAACAACTTATATATCTTTTTTTATGGATTTTCAAACATATTATAGCCATTCATGACTATTTCAATCAGAATACAAAAGAACAAAGGGGTATTTATCATATTTATTATTAAATTATATTTGAATGATAGTTGATTTTTAATTTCCATATGAATGTTTGTGCAAAAACGATAAGGTATCAAGTAGTTTTTCTGTCCCTGGCAAAGCAAACGGTTTTTAGGGGATCAGAATATCGAATTGCAGAGGACATGTGCCAGCCAAATAGAATCCAAAACAATAATGTAATTTGAATGAGCTTACCAACAAAATGCAAAAACAAATACACATTTATTAGATATATTAATGTCAACCAAGCATGTAACGATAGCAATAGTAGTAAATTTCTCCATAATTCAAGTGTTTTCTTGTCCGCGAACAACAACCAAATAATTAGAACAATTTTAAATGAATTTAGACACCTCACTGAATGGGTATTAGATTACTGAAATGTATTTGTGCCATATTATATACATTTATTCAGATTTATTTAATATTATTTAGTCAATGGGAAAAGTATTAAATAAATATTTATGAGAAAAAAGAGAAAATAACGTTTTTATCTTTTATTGGAGGGATCAGACTCTCTAAATTTGAATTAATTAATTTTCAGCCAATCTCACTCGAACCGTTTTGTATAAAAATAATTCGAAGAATTCTATTCGGTTTTGAGTCTTTGAACAAACAGAATTTGTATTATTGGAATGTACTTTTTATACTTTTTTCAAAGTGAAAACCACAAAATGCTAACTCAGCTCTCAAAAATCGGAAAACTCTAAAAAATCAAAATAATCATCGATTCAACAAAAAAAACTTCGTAAATAAGAATACTTACATACCGCAAGCTGTAAAATGTGTCAAAAAATGTTGAAATTAAAACGATCGGAAGTTGCATTTTTGGTGTACAATATCAACAAATATTTATTTTTATATCTTTCTTCTTCTTCTTTTTTAGTAATTACACCATAATACTTATGTATAATGCATATTTTTTTTACTTTCTATAATCATATATTTAAATAAAAGAAAAATGCTAACGACTACAATCCTTTCCGTGTCTTATGGAAATCAAAATTCGGAAGAAAAGTTTCTAGGCAATATGAGAGTGGCAAACAAAAATTTGGAGTAATGATAGAATGGACCTACCTTCAATTGATTTGTATATCCAGCTCAACACCACACAGAACAGTTTTTTCAAACAAATTAAAAATAAAACATAAACTATGTAAAACTATCACTTTTTTTAAAATACCGACTTACAAACCGGCGCAGTGTATAGACAGACAGACGTCAAAACAATGCAAAACACTTTTGATCAATTAACATGTACGTCTGATGCACTGAAAATGTAGATTATCGCATGATGCGACCAATTGTATGTCAGAATTAATTGAAATGATAAGTGAATAAGCTGAAATCTGATATGCGGACAACACTCTTCAGTCGTTAATTCAATCAAATGGGATTTGGTTTGGCGTCATTGCGCGAATTCTTTACATTTGATTGAATTTTCGATGAATGAATGATCTCAAGGCACCCTATGAAAATAAATTTTCTTTCGATGCTTTAGGACACGGTACGTTTATCCAGTATCTGAAGCACTTCGACCTCAGAACAGTTGAACATTCAGTATAGCCATAAATGCTGTAATAATAAATCAATTGTGATTAGAACCCAAGAGTGAATCAATATTAATCAAAAAAAATTGTTTTTTTTTTTTGCCAAACGATTTTGGTTCCATAAATCAGATGTGTTTTTTCTCTCACCCATAAGGGTGTTAGGTCTTTTTATAAATTTATTTTTATATTAATTTGGGTTAATTTAATTTTGCCATTGCTGTCATGTCACTACTGATTTATGGAAAATCGCGACACTTTTTTTTTTGTTTTGTTTTTTAACGACAATTTAACTTTGTTCTGTTCCCCACCTTCAGACACAACAATAATTTAGATAGACGAGCTGTCGTTGCGCCCGAAAGATATTAGCTGCTTCTACACATGTGCGTGGTCCAAACATTTAGTGATGCGATGCGAACAATTGGTTTTGTCGCGCGTTGGTCTGAAATGATTTTAAATGATTTAACTAATAACTGGATACACAAATCAATCGAATAATAATATGATTCTATCAACTCCAAATTTGTTATGGTAATATATGTATTGAGAAAAGTGGCAAAGAAACCTACTGAACAAACTGTATGTAAATTATATGGAAAAGTGTGTGTGTGCATGGTTTCAATGTAGTTTTGTTTTGCATTTGAATTTGTTATTTTCAATAGTCGGAAAGAATTTTCATTCGATATAACAAACGATTTATGTTTAATGCCCTCATCCTTTTACAATATCGCTTGTTTTTGCACCTTCTATATTTAATGCCCTAATCGCGTGCATGCAAAACTTTGTTTTGTGTGCATAGTCATTCATCATCATTTCAAAATTTATATTTTCTTTGTTACTTAAATGCTAAATGGTTAGTTGTGTAAAAGAAAGGAGAGAGAAAGATAATAAAAGAACCTAAGAAAAATTAGCTTATTATTATCCCTAGCAAATAAGAATATAAACCTAGAAATAAAATGCTTACAAATAATAATAATGTTTGATAAATTTTGATACAAAAAAATAGAGTAAGGAGTAACAATCAGTAGAAAATAAAAAGTACCGACATTGTTTTCATTGAGTTTTTTCAATTATACTCATGTGAATGTGTTGATTGTGTGGTGGGTCGGCGTTGCAACCGAGCCCGTTGTTTTGGTGGATCGATTTCATAATGACCGAGTAATCGTTGTGTGTGTGTGTGTTTTTTTTATTTGTGTTTGTCGAATGGTGAACGGTGTCACATTACATCTCCTCGCACCAAGCATTCTGCGAATTCATGTGACAGCTTGCACAAAATTCGAGCGAAACACGTCCACTCGACACGTGTAGACAAATGCCCGGTGAATTATCGGTATTTTCAGCCACCTTTTGTGTGATTGGATTATTAAAATAATTGTGTTCAATTTTAACGGTATTACTACTGTTCGTACTTAGGATTTCACTGTCGTCAATTTCACGTAAATCGGCAATATTCATCGGGTTTAAATCGGTTTTGAATGCTGTTGATGTTACTGGTTCATTCAATAGATTTTCCCAATGGAAATCGTCGATATTTTGTTCATATGATGAGGTTGATTCGGTTGCCGTGAAATCCGTATGACTGCCATTCTCTAGATCTGTGAAAATAAATTGATTTGTTTGTTCAGTAAAAGACGATGAAAAAAATGGATCATTGTGTGTCCAAACTGTACCATTTTCTTTATCATCTTCATACGATGCCGGTGACATTGATGATGCTGATGCTGGCGAACATCCACTGCTGCTGCTGCTATTTTTACATAAACGACTACGCATTATCGATGAATGATGCATTTTATTTTCCTCTTGATACTCATTATCGGCCACAAAACTCAATACAGACGATGTGATTGGTGTACGATTGCCCTGAATGCTTCGCAACAATGACATGATTTCGGTTTTATTTGCCAAAATGCTTCTCAAATATAAACTCTCTTGTGTTAGTTTTGTGATTGTATTGTTTCGAATGCACAACATTTTCTTCAATTTTTTATTCTCATTTTGGGTGTCTTCAACGGTTTTTTGCAAAACTTCCATATGCTCTTTCTTTTTACGACGATTCTCACGTGCCATAATCGCATTTCGATTGGACACTTTTGGATCTGGTTTACGTGTTGGCATTCGTTTAATGGATAATTTTTTGTCGTTGGCCGCTTTTTTTGAGTTCGTTGCCATTTTCGTACAATTGCGAAATAGATTGCCAGCTGTATTGTGATACAACGATTTTAAACGTTTCGACTCATTACCTGTGCATGATTCATCATAGTCATTGTCCGATTGCGTCTCATCCGAATAAATTATTTCGTCATCGTCGGAAAAATCGTCATCGTTCTCGTACATCGGTGAAAAACCAGCCGTATTTTCAATTTTCAACATTTTGGCATCCATTTTGTTTGCTTACGATTTGATATACCTCTTGGTTGGTATGGAAACTTTTATTCTCGTTCGGGGCACAAAGCGCGAATTAAAAATGTGTGTGTGTGTGTCGATTTTTTTTCAGGAAGTGAAAAACAAGAAAGAGTGCTAATTAAACTTGTTAAAATTTCAACCTTTTGATGGTTACTTACTAAATTGTAACACTTTTATACGATTCGCGAAAAAAATCTACGTCTTTTGAATGGAAAGTTAATTAATAGTTTTTTTTTGTTGGCAAGAGAAAAATTTCACGATCTACAACTTTCTACTGCGTCGTATCTAATACGTGTGTAGTTCCAATTGAATGACTAAATGAGCATAGCGTCAGAGGCGCTGCTATCGATGAACGCGTTCAATCAGACCTAAATTTACAATGGTATTGTGTTTATGCGTGGAAAAATCAATGATTTTTGTTTAATAATAGCTATTTTCTATGTTTTTTCTTAATCAAATAAAAGCCAATTTATGAATTTTCATTAAAATGGCAGTTGAAATATTTACGCAACACATTTGAGCCATTTAATTTGATAAAATATTTGTTTTTATCGAGAAAATCTACGGTTGCCATCTTTTGGTGGGCATAAAAAGCTAATATAGATGTCAAAACAACGTTTGAGGTTACGTTATTTTCAATAAGTGCCGATCGTTGATGCAAGTATTTCGGTATAATTTTTGTGAATGAAAATAAATTCGCATCGAAATGATTGTAAACAGATTACTGTGTCGAAATTTTTTTGGAAAAAAAATTCGTCTGAGACATCGTTGTTACTCAACATCGAAATCAATAGATGACAATATTCGAAATATTGCAATTTTAGCTCATATTGATGCAGGTACATTGTACTGTGAATTTATTTCTAAGTGAATTAAATACGTTAGTTGTCCTCTTGCGATAGGAAAGACAACAACAACAGAACGAATGTTGTATTATTCGGGCACGACACATTGCATGGGTGAAGTGCACCGCGGCAATACGATAACCGATTTTTTGGAGCAAGAACGTGAACGTGGTATTACAATATGCAGTGCAGCGGTTACATTTCCATGGAAAGAGTATCGATTCAATCTTCTCGATACACCGGGCCACATTGATTTTACAATGGAAGTTGAACAGTCATTGGGAGCAGTCGATGGTGTTGTGGTTGTACTTGACTCATCGGCTGGAGTTGAAGCACAAACAGTCACCGTTTGGCATCAAGCCGACCATTACAAACTACCAAGAATGGTTTTTGCCAATAAAATGGATCGACCCGATGCGAATTTTCAAAGTTGTTTAGTCGATTTACAAAATAAATTAGATTGTATTCCGGTGCCATTGCAAATTCCACTAATGGGCGAAAAAGGGATAAAAAGTAAGCGAGCATTATACAAATTGTATGTGATTACTAAAAGAAAAACACTTTCCCATCAGGTATAATCGATCTACTAGAATTAAAAGAATTACGTTTCGATCAGTCAAAAGAGGGACGCGTTTATTCTAAAGTACCGTTGTTCGGAGAATTATTGAAAAAAGCAATTGACAAACGATGCGAAATTATCGATATAATGAGCGGTTATGATGATAAATTGGCCGATGAAGTGATTCAAAATGATAGTTTGGAAAATATCAACAGTTCAATAATAAGACAAGCAATCCAAAGTTTGACAATAAATCAAAATATTGTGCCGGTATTTCTGGGGTCAGCCTATAAAAATACAGGTGTCCAACTCTTAATGGATGGCGTCACATCATATTTACCAGCACCCAGCGAACGAACTTCCATTTACGATTGTTTTAAGTAAATTACACACATTCAATTTTTTATTTTACTTTATATTCAACCGCTGTTATTAAACGAGTGTAAAATTTCAGTAAAAGTTTTGCGGGAAAAGTGTTCAAAGTAATGCATGACAAACAAAGAGGTGCCTTGAGTTTGGTTCGAGTACTTAATGGTAAACTGAAAAAAGGGGATAAAGTTCATACATTGAATGGAACATCTGAAGTTGTACAACGTATTTACGAACCATTGGCCGATGAATACCGTGAAATAGATGAAGTAAGCAAAGGAAATGTTGGAATATGTGCTGGTCTCAAGGTATTTTTAATCTTTCACATTTTATTACTATTATGAATTGATTTTCATTCTTTAAAAAAAACCACACCACATAGACAACTTCAACTGGCGATTTGCTTGTGTCGAGTATGAAATCATTTAATGCAGCTAAAAACGTGCTCGAATCAAAAGGTGTTAAACTTCAATTAAAACCACATATTCCCGATGCTGTTTATTTTTGTTCAATCGAACCGCCATCGATTTCCTATCAAACGGCTCTTGAAAGAGCTCTCGCCCAACTACATCGAGAGGATCCAAGTTTTCGTGTTAGCTACGATGAGAATACAATGCAAACCGTTTTGGGTGGAATGGGTGAACTTCATTTGGAAATCATAAAATCTCGAATTCTGAGCGAATATAACATTGAAGCCGATTTAGGGCCATTACAAATTGCCTATAAAGAGACAATTTTGCAACCAATTCGTGATACATTCGAATTTAAAAAGGACATTGCCGGTTCATCGCAAGAAGTTACCATTGAAATGTCACTGGTTTTGGATAATAAAAAACAATTTTCGCTCGATACACATCCGGATACAATTCAGGCACTAATTGACATTCATCCAAATTATATGAAAGGCGTAAAAAAAGCAGTTGAATCAACATTAAATCGAGGACCACTGGTGGGCGGCATCGTTATGGGCACTCAAGTTATATTACACAAATTGGTGATTGGCCGAAAAACGGCCGAATCAGTTGTAATGTCGGCCACAGCACAATGTGTACAAAAAATGCTTCGCAAAGTCGGTTGCAAACTTTTGGAACCATTGATGTCAATTCAAATTATTGTGCCGGGTGATAAATTATCGGCAGTACTGAGCGATCTGACGAAACGACGATCGGAAATTTCAGAAGTTGTTATTCGAGGAGACAATCGGGTACATTCAAAGGCATTTGTCAACAATCAATGTTCACTTGGTTCAATGTGTTTTCTATTGTTTGTTTTTTTAGATTGTCCACGCAATCGCTCCGTTAGCTGAGCTTAGCGGATACTCAAGCAAAGTTCGAATATCTACATCTGGAACGGCCAGCATGCTCATGCAACCATGTGGCTTTGCGGCCATGAGCGAAGAACAACAAGTGCATGCAATTCGACGAACGCAAGGACTAGAATAGTCAATTGTTTATTGTATTATATATTGTAAAGAATTATTTATCGAAAATAAAATGAATGAACTTGGAAAAAACCACCGAAGAAAATGATATCGGGCGTCTCCATTGGTTTGTATCTCGAATACACGGTTTATTAACCATAATTGAATTCTATGTTTTTTTTATTCACTTCGATTTAATCAGTGAAATAGTATAATTAGATTTATTAACGGAATGTTTTTTTTTTCATTTTGGTTTTGCAATGCAATCGAATAAAAGAATGCGATTTCGAATTCGCACTGAATTCAAAAAATGTTGTAAATTGCAACAGGCTCGCGATATGAATGCAACAAGAAATGAAGCCAAGGGTAATGAAGCGTGTATTTTTCCCTCACGAATTCAATTTGTTCGTCAATTAAATTTCAAAGCTGAATGAACACGTGTGTGTGTGTGTATGTTTCACACATTGCCATTAAAATGCACATGTTGATTTGTTCAGTTTTCGGTGATGAATTTTCTTACAGAATGAATTTGTAATAGCTTGAAGGATATTCAATGTCGCATGAAAATCATTCACAACAAAACCTGCTAAATATTAAAACGAGTCCGACGACGCATTGCATCGTCAAAGACTTGAATGAATATTTCATTTCACGAAAAGCAAAGAAAGAAAAAAAAGCACACCACAGAGAAGTAAAAAAAAACTTTCACTGGACTTGCAGTCAATCATCTGTGAGCTGAGTGAATTCATAATACCTTCCTATAAAGGCTATGTACAAAGACGTGTATTATGTTCGCACACACACACACACACATCTTTGCTATATAAACACACTTTGCATTTCCAATTTGTACAATCGAATTTTATATTCATACATCTGTGAAGATTTATAAGTATCGAGTAAAATTTTATTTCCACATAAAATATGCGGTACGTGCCTGCTTTTCATATAACAAGCGATCGCCTACATTTATTGTTTGGCCACATACGATAAAAATTACTTTGCGCACAAAGTGTGTCTTACTTCTTCTATTTCAATTTTATCGCAAACATAAGTTTATCCGTGCCCGTGCCCAAGTGTTGAATGCATGTATTTTCGTACAAATTGTAAGCTTTTTTATGGTGCTTATTCTTCGCCGCTGGTTTTTTTTCTTTACATTTTCGGTGTGTGTGTGGGTGTGTGTGTATTTCGTTTTATGCAATGAAAACTTTAACATAATCAAATTGTTTCGTGGCTACGAAAGTGAAATCTTTTTTTATATTATATTTGCTTATGGCAATGTCCTAACTCATTGGCCACGCCAATCTTTTTTTCTTCTCTCTCTGTTTCTTTGGTTTTAAATGCCGTACAAACCTCATTGAAGATTCTTTCAATGTTGCACATTTAATTAATGTAATTAAAATCCTCTTGATGGCCAGTGCATAGAACCCGAAATTCGTTCACTTTATTAAACTACTTAATAGTATTAAAACGGTGACCGGAATGTGGTGGTGCAACAAGTGACTAAATTTTGCCAGATTTCATTTTGGTAACACTTGTTGCCGTTGCACATTAATAACCATCACCATTAAATGAGCGTAATGAAATTTCATCACAAAATGTAAAATGTAGAAATAAAATCAACGCACAGCATGCGATAAATTATGAACAATGTTCATTGAACATATGATCGACGATATCATTGACATTGTGTTTAATGATGATTCAGAGAAAAAGAAGAAACAATCTTATTTTATCTCGTATGAAAATTAACTGAAAACAAGATAATAAGACAGAAAAAAAAACATTTATATAAAAGAAATTTGTTGAACATCACACAGTGCAGACAAAGGAAGAAGCGAAAAAAATAGTAATATAGAATGCTCTTATTCCAATAACATTTGAAAAATGTTGAACGCACATCACTTCATCATATTTACCGTTTTATCACATAAAAAAACGCTCGTATAACGGTATGGAATTAAATTCAAACAAAAGCTGAAATGAAAAAAAAAAGAGAGAGAAAGAGACATTGATAATCAAAGACATGATGAGTGTGTATGTACGAGAGAAAAAGTTACACATATGAATTGGAGAGGAAAAAAAACCGAAGAATTTCTTGTGCTTGAAAAATCGGAAATGGCAGGTTTGAATATCAACTGTGTCAGCACCGAGCAAGTTAAACTAGTTGTGAAACAACGACTGAAATTCCACGCAATATAAAACTAAAGACACAGAAAATGCCAGCAATGCCATAAAATGGAATATTTCTTTCAATCTGGTTTTTTTAGCCTCTCTCTCTCTCTCTCTGTTTTCTGTTTTGTCTTAATGAAAATGACAAAATGAGAATCATCACTCTTCTCGCATTGTTTTCAACAGTTCATCCGTTGTGCATTGAAAATAAACTTTTCAAAAAAATGAAGAGTCAAACGCAGATAAAGGTAAAATATATAAAATAATGCGATAAGAAGATAGGTAGACGAGGAGCAAAGAGACTGAATAAAAATCAGAAGACCAAAAATTATGAAATCAAAAGATCATTTCAAAATGGAATATTTGCGTGTATGTTGTTCAAAAAGGTGCTTTTATTTTATTTGAAATGCTGTGTGCTTGTGTTTATTCTCTTCATTACAAATGCCACCAAATCATATTCTCGTGAATTTTACAGATTACAGCTATTAATTTGAATGAAAAATGAATGGTAAATATGTAGTTTGACTTGTTCGCGCGCGTATTGTGTGTGTGTATAATTTGAATTCCCCGCGAATGCATGTCGGCCGCTGATGCTGTTGCTTGATGAAATCAGACATTCCAAGAGCACGGTATGAAGTTCCTACAGATATCATAAAAACGTAGGAACTCTAAACCTCGCTATCGGTAATGACTTGCAAATTGACGTTGAATGCATCGCCTCATTATCGCTTCAGCTACTTTCCAATTTTGATGTTTCGATTTGAATCCAAATTATTGGCCACAATTGAATCGGTTTGATTATAGTTTGATCAATAATAGATGTTGATTCCGCTCTCTTCAATTCCCGGATGTTTTTGTTTGCAAATGAAAAATAAAAAATGAACGTCGATGTCCATTCAATATCGAAACCGTATTTATTTTGTTCATCTGCTGCTGAGAGAATGGATGTTATTATTATGTGATATAACCAACAAATGTTTTTGAGTGTGCAGTAGAATTGCACGGTTTTTATTTAAATATTATTATTATTCAATGCGCGCTTGGCTTTTACCTTCACTTCATCCATGGTTGTGCTCCTAACGGCCTAGTTAAATGAATGACCGTTGTGTGTTTATTTATATTTTATTATTGCAGCCTGCACATATATTAGCCATACGCTTTGTGACCTTTTGCATATATATATGTGTATACACATTTTTGCTGGATACGTTTTTTTTTTCAACAATCAAACGAGCAATACAATTCACATGTAAAACGCCATTGCTGATTATTATGATATATACTATAGTACGTTTTATTTAAATGCTGTGTAAAGTGATGACCAGATAGAAAAATATGACCAAAAACAGTTCAAAACTAAAGAAAAAAAAATACTGGTGGAAGTGCTGTTGATGCGTTTTATTTATCTTTTTTTTTTTTTCTCTTTCTCTCTCCGTCTCTAACTATCCTCTTATCACATGAATTTATTGTGTTTTTGACTCGAAAAGCGCCTACGTAAAACCCATTTTTCTGTCGAGTTTATCACACTCGATTTTTGGTATTGTTAGTCCCACAAAAAATAATATGCAGCGCTTGCACAAGTTTCACGCCAATTTCTCTTCATACACTTACTCACACATCCGCAAATAATCGCACACACGCACGCATCTACAACCATTGCAAGCGTATATCAATACAATCGTTGCCACGTCCATGTTGGCATATTGCGAATATATGTGTATTGGTTGTGCCCGTACAAGACTCGGGATGATGAGTACATTTTTTCCCGTTTGTGTCATTACCTCCATTTTGCCCTTGTGTAGGTGAATCGCACATAGTTGTTTACATATATCTACACCATTTTTTATTTCGTACATACAGTAGTCCGTGTACAGGTTTGTTTTTGCCGAAAACTTCGCTTTTTTTGAATACTATATGCTTTTTTTCGCTCATTTTGGACGCTTTTTACTTTGGTATTATTGACTACACACTGGAGAACTGACTGATTCTTGCAAAACAAAAACATAATATAAAGCGTCGGCTTGATTATAATTTGATTTTTTTTCTTTGCTCTCCGTTCGAATACCATGATGCCGGTATGGTTTCACCATTTTAGAAAAAAACAACAACAGAAAACAGCGTATCACAGAATTACTGGAAGAACGAGATGGAATTAATACAAAGCCGAAAAAAACGATAACACACACAAACTCGCACACAAATCAGTGAAGGATGAATAAAAATGTTTTATTCACCAGATTTCTCCGTCACTCTCTATCACAAGAATTCATTGGGTTGCCTCTAATTTGACTGTAGCTACTTGAGTTCAATAACGAGAAGAAAAAAAACTGAATACGAAAAAAATGTACCAAAAAGCAAACATCAAATCTTATCTACATTCCATAGGCTGTATAAAAGGCGGAGTCACTTTATTTGTGGTGTGTTTTTATTGCTATTTTTGGAATCCGAAGAAAAAGTATCGGCAATAACAATTGACTACTTATTCCTTTATTTGATTTGATTCTTTCCCTGTTTTCCATCCTCGTTTGCTTATTTTTGAATTGCACATATTGACATCAAATAACGATAGATAGTGAAAAAAACAATTGTACAAAATGTGTGAGTATATTTAAAAATTGATATTAAGACATCAGCATATGCAAAACTCAAAATAGTTGCAAATTCAAACAGGTTGGCATACACTTCGGTATTTATTATAACAAAAAAAAATTATCTGCGGAAATATCTTAAACTGATTTCAGATAACATTTTTCAAATGATATTTATCACAAAAGTAAGGTGAAGCTCGATATTCCTTAAGTATTAACGAACAAACGACGATGAAATCATTTTGACCACAAACGAAAAACGACACCTACTAATTGACATTTATTTTGAAGTTATTCAAACAGACAAACAGACAAAACGAGAAAAAAAAACCGCCGAATGTTTCCCTTT